ACTGCGCCACCCAGGCGCCCCCAAATCTTTCTGATTTTCTATATAATAGTCTAAACAGAATGTACATTATCTAATAGAATTGTTATAAGTTAAGAACTGCACTTAGAGACCCCTCCATGAATCACACATCTCGTCCTCTTGCCACCATTGGACAGAGGACCCCAGTCTTGACCCTTGATTTCCTTGTTGTCATGTTGAAACATGTATAGCTTGTTAAGGTTAAAAATGGTCTACCAAGTTATCTGTTGTTTGGTAGATTGATTGAATTACAGCTATAGTCCATGGCATAGAGGAAAGGCTAAAAGCAGAAAATCAACATGGGTCTACTTCTGTTTTTTTTTTTTTTTTTTTAAGTTTATTTGTTTATTTTGAGAGAGCCCATGAGCAGGGGCAGGGCAGAGAGAGAGGGAGAGAGAGAATTCCAAGCAGGCTCTGTGCTGACAGTGCAGAGCCCTATGTAGGACTCAAACTCACAAACCGTGAGATCACGACCTGAGCCAATACCGAGAGTCGGACGCTTAACTGACTGAGCCCCAACATGGGTCTTCTTCTGTTGGTAAATTCAGACCTGGTTCACTGGTCAGAAATGTGCCAAGCATGTGAAAAGGTTGAGTCAGAATAGCTTTAATTCTGTGATGTCCTTTTCAAAGTAAATATATGTGTGATATATCATTTTCATTTAAAAATTATTATAATCATAGCTGGATCTTGTATAAGTGTTAGCTTTGGCAACGAAAGGAATACATTTACTAATTGTTTCTTCCTGCCATGGAACTTCACTGGTATTTAGTCTTGACATGTGCACGTAGGTGTATTGGACCTGTATCAAAATAAGCTATTAAAAATAGTTTGGAAGTTCTTCTTAAATGTGTGAAAAAGAAGACCATCCATGCGTGGTCTATAGATACGATTAAGTTGGAAGACCTTCTCCCAGACCAAGGAATTTTTTTTAACTTGTGCTTTCCTGGAAATGGTGCCTTTCATTCTTTTGACCTGCTCTACACAGCAACTCAGTTTCCAGGGCCAAATGGACATAGACTAAAAGTCTGAAGTTATGGAACTTCAAAGCCAACACAGCTAATTCAGTACTTGTCAAAGTGTGATCACGGAGCACCTACATCAAAGTCACCCTGCATGTTAACATTTAGATCCCTGCATCCCAAGCCTTCCTACCAGTCAGAATCTCAAGGTGGGGAGAGAACGCGGCCCGGAGCCACCTCCCGAACATGGACCTGTGGTGGTTCTTATGTATGAAAGACTTGGAAAAAACTGCTCTGGTCCCTCCATTCATGTTCTACATGAGAAGACCAAGCCCCAGAGAGGTTGAAAATGATAGGCTCATGGGGCGTCTGGATGGCTCAGTCAGTTAAGTGTCCTACTTCAGCTCAGGTTATGATCTCATGGTTCGTGAGTTCCAGCTCCGCATCGGGCTCTGGGCTGACAGCTTGGAGCCTGGAGACTACTTCAGATTCTGTGTCTCCTCTCTCTTTCTGACCTTCCCCCGCTCATGCTCTGTCTCTCCCTCCCTCCCTCTCAAAAATAAGTAAACGTTTAAAAAAATAAAAAGAAAATGATAGGCTCATGGGCACACAGACCAACGATAAAGACTTTGACTTCTGGCCTAGTGATTCCGTACACCCGCCTGTCTGCTTTTGGTACCTGCTAGAACTCCAAGGCGGCTCCTCTGAATACAGATGTGGTGCTGTCATGAGTCAGGCCCCAGGGAGAGTGAGGGTCCTGGTCTTTCTAAGCAGCAAACCCTCTGGAGAGTGAGAATGGAGTCTTCCCCAGCCTGTGCCCTCCAGCCAGTAGCTCGGAGCACACAGCCAAGCACAGTGAGGGTGTGAGTGCTGCGGGGGACGTCAGCCGCCATGAAGGCCTCTGGCTCCCTCCCCTTACCCCACTGCAGTCTGGACGCTTGTCTCATGTAGGATCCCATCCAGGAACTATTTCAGGGTCTGGCTTAGGCCATGGAAAGATTCCTCAGTTTTGCCAAATGAAGGTTACCAGATGACTGTCACTACTGGAACTTATATATGCAAAGATTGCAAATTCTGTTTTCGGAGGAATTTCTTTTGTATGTCTGGTTTCTTGGCATATGAAGGCTTCACTCTCCATTAGCAAGAAAATAAAAATGATGTCAATGAGGTGCTGTCATGACAGGAAGCATGAGAGCGTTTTTCAGACGCTGACATCCACAACTGGGCTCAGGATGTTGCCAGTGCTGAGCTGAATTGGTTCCCAGCTTAGAATTTGGCAGGGCCGGGGTGAAAGGTTGCAGCTTTCACCCCGTAAGACTGGACGGACAAAACCGCTATCTAGAGATAACGGGGTTCACTCATCAGGGAACTGCAACATGCTCCTTAACTGGGCAACACTGAGCATGTCACCCAACTCTCACTGTGCCTCCCGGAGCTGTCGGCTTCCAGGGTGTGTGTCCACATTGAAGACGTTGGTGGAGAGAAGGGGGACCACTGATCTCTCCCCCCATTTCTGATCCTGCCTTTAGCCTACAGTAGCTACACTTTGAGGTTTTATGTATTTATGCCTCTGGGTCAGGTTTGATTTGAAACAAATGTTAAAAATTAGAGACTGACCACCAATGAATTTGGTTCTTTATTCTAGTTTCGCATTAGAATTGCCTGGAGCATCTTCCAAAAAGGCAAATCAAAACAAGGAAACACCCTTCTCCTCTCCCTACCCTCCCCTGCCCAGATAATGTGACCCCGTAGGTCTGCGCTGAGGTTCTAAGCATCAATATTTCTTCAAAGATCTCGTATGATTCTAATGTGCAGGCAGGGTGAGAACCACAGGACTGGATGCCCATGGTCTCTAGCTGTCCTAAAGGTGTGTCTCTGACTCCCACCCTGCAGGAAGACCTAAACGGGTCTGGGTGGCAAATGGCTGAGGCTCCCCCAAAGAGCCGACCGCTGACCTGTGTCCCTCCACAGGCATGCCCGGGAAGAACAACGTGGCCGCGGCCCTGCGCCAGGCCCCTGGGCAAAACGGCACCAGCTTCCACGGCTGCATCCGGAACCTTTACATCAACAGTGAGCTCCAGGACTTCCGCAAGGTGCCCATGCAAACCGGCATCCTGCCAGGCTGTGAGCCGTGCCACAAGAAGGTGTGTGCCCACGGCACGTGCCAGCCCAGCAGCCAGTCCGGCTTCACCTGTGAGTGTGAGGAGGGATGGACCGGGCCCCTCTGTGACCAGAGGACCAATGACCCCTGTCTGGGAAATAAGTAAGTTTGGGCTGCTTGGCAGTTACACACACATACCCCAATCCTCGAAGCAAAACCCAGGAAGGGAGGGAAGGAGGGGGAGAGGGAGAAGAGGAGGAAGTCGGCGCATTAGCACATCTCCTTCATATTCCTCCCATGACCCTTTCTCCATTCTTATCCACTCTGCCTGATGCGTTTGTATTCCCATGTTCCTCCTCCGCTGTAGATGTGTGCACGGCACCTGCCTGCCCATCAATGCATTCTCCTACAGCTGTAAGTGTCTGGAGGGCCACGGGGGAGTCCTCTGTGATGAAGAGGAGGACCTCTTTAACCCCTGCCAGGGGATCAAGTGCAAGCATGGGAAATGCAGGCTCTCAGGACTTGGGCAGCCCTACTGTGAATGCAGCAGTGGATACACCGGGGACAGCTGTGATCGAGGTAAGCCACCTGCCTGGGACCCATCCTTGGGGCCCAGCAAGCAAGAGGACCCCTCATCTTTGAAAAGAGAGAAAGGGAGACACATGCACATGCACACACACACACACACACACACACACACACACACAGGAGTGATCTGAGGAGCACCAGGTCTGTGTCTGGCTTAGAGTTGCTGCTGGTGATTTATTTCCCAGTGGTGTGAGGGCACCAGATGTAAAGTGTCCTCAGCCTCCACAGCGGGATTTTGCACCGCCTCCACACGTCTTCTCTGATGTGCCGTGAAAAATACTCCTTTTTACCTTGTGTAGCAGCACGCTTACTTCCCTCGCTTCTTCCCGTTACCTGCTGTCCCCGTCCACATATATTATTAATTCGTCTCTGGCACAGAGGGGAGGGCCCTCACCGTCCTGCTCCAATTTTAAGATAGAGTCACCTTTGACCTTAGAACCAACCGATTCAGCACAGCACAGCACGCAGGTGAGAGGGAGGGAAACGTGCTGACTTCTTGGCCCGCCTTCTTCTCCTTTGCGTGATCGGAACGTGCCTTGCCTCCAGCTGGCACGCACTTCAGCGTGTGCATCAGAGGGACGAGACAAGAGGAACGTGCCCGTGGAAGGTTTTAGCAGATGTCTCTTTTTGAACTAGTTCATACTAGGGTAATTTATGAAGTCAGTGGAATGTTACTTGTATTAAGTAACAGATTGAATGATATGAAACCCCAGGTCTAATAAATTAAATTGCACACTCGCGGGAAACTGCTCCCTGTGGTAAACAAAACCAGCTGTTCGAAGTGTAAAAACAGAAGATGTGTATTTTTGCAATAAAGGAAAAGATTTAGGAATCCAATTTTCTTGTCAGTCCAATAGCATGGTATTTATAGTCCGCGTATATAGTATTCGCTTTGCGGACAATAAAGGGCCCCCCCCCCAAAAGAAGTATTTTGCAAAGACCAGCAGGCTGTGCCCGCAGCCCATCATACGGAATAGAAGGATGGTGACAGCAGTTACACTTGGCAAAGGGAGGACCTCCTGAATTGAGTGGTGGGTTCGCGGTCACTTGGCATGACTCACAGTGGCTGCCCTGGAAATGCTTGTGCTTCTTGTTCTTTTCTAGAACTCTCATGTCGAGGGGAGCGAATAAGAGATTATTACCAAAAGCAGCAGGGCTATGCCGCGTGCCAGACAACCAAGAAGGTGTCCCGGCTGGAATGCAGGGGTGGATGTACGGGAGGCCAGTGCTGCGGACCCCTGAGGAGCAAGCGACGGAAATACTCTTTCGAATGCACTGACGGGTCTTCGTTTGTGGACGAGGTGGAAAAGGTGGTGAAGTGTGGCTGTACCAGGTGCGCCTCCTAAGCGCGTCCCTGGCAGCGTTTGTCTTTGGGAAATGTCGTCTACTTCTTGACCATGTTGGACTAATTAATAATGCTTCATAGTGGAAATATTTGAAATATATTGTAAAATACAGAACAGACTTATTTTTATTATGAGAATAAAGACTTTTTTTTTTTTCCTGCATTTGGGAACAAAAAAAAAAAATGCTTGAACTAACGCTTCCCCGATGCTAGAGAAGTATGAAGAGAGAGATACCTGGAGGCATCAGAACGAAAGTGGGAATCATTGCAACTCGAATTCATCTTTGCGACATGCTGAAGACAGAAGCACAGGCAAAGGGAGAGCCGAGCTGCCCTGTGCTGCCGTGAAATCGCCCAGAGCATAAAACCCATGCGCCCTCGTCCTCCTCTTTGTGGTTTATGAGGACAGACCAAGCACGTGCGTGTGAATGTGAGGACGCAAGGCGGAGGAATGGGATTCTAGAGTTCATAGGACAAATGGTTGAGAAATACGATGTGCAAAATAGTGTCCTGAAGACAACGGTTCTATTCCCGAGAGAGATGGGAGTACTAAAATAAGTTTTATGTTCTTTGTAAACGTCAGCATGTTAGCAGAAGAAGCACACAAAAGTGTTTATCTACCGTTTTCCAGTATTAATTTTTTGTAATATAAATGATAAAGGAGATGATAAAGAACCAATAGATTATTGATAAATAAATTAGTAATAATATGAATTTTTGTTTCTATGAGTTCTAAACAGCCCTATACAGTATTCAGTTTCCATGAGAAATATTTATTGTATCAAAGTACATTGTACTTAACATTTTAGGCCATTCTTTTACTGTTTCTCAATGCTTTAATATATATTAATTTATAATTGTCCTGATATTTTTGTATATTTTTCAAACTTAAAAGTCAGGATCTTTTTGGGTTTTTTTGGCAATAGTACTAACATAGGGTGTTATCTTGGGATAAATGTGTGTTGATCTGTTTGTTTACCTTGACATCTGACCACTGGTGTCACTGACCTACTGGCCTCATTCAGGACACCTGCAGAGTGTAAAGTCGATGCGTGAGATGGTCATTGTACAGAAAGAAGTGGCCCGCCCCTCTGCAACATGTCCCCACAAAACAGAGATGGTATATAGCAGTCAACACTAGAAGAGTAGGTATTTTACAAATTAATATTTCCTTGACATTTTTTGCCCTTTTATTGCGGGTGGGTGGGGAGAAAAGAAGGCTGTAATGTCAAGAACTGTGATTTTTTTTTCCCCAACAATAAAGCTCCTTTATTACCTTAATGTTCCCATGTTAACATGTTTGCTGCTAAATTACAATGTAGAATTGATAATGATTTATAGTGGACTGTGCTCTTCCCTTATTAAAATCCCAGGGTGCCCTGTGAAGATGCAGATGTTTCTTTTCAAAAAACTTTTTTTACACAAAAAATTAGATGTACATGTATAATTCATTGTGCTTTGTCTTTCTCCAGACTAATATCAGTTATACTACTGATGGTTGTAAATTAAACAGATATTTACTTCACTAACAGCTTGGTGATTTTCTTAGAACCTGTAAAATATTTAGAGTCCACTCCTTAAGAATTTCTTAATCAAAATGATACAAAGAAAACTTATATCATGTTGTTGACAGGAATTGGTTTAAGATTAGCATATTGTCATATCGGGGGACTTTGGAACGGCCACATGAAAGGAATGGACAGAAGAATACATTCTCTGCTCTGACAAAAGTGCATATTCAACTAATTCCTTCCAAAAAAAAATATAAGGCGAAGTCTAACTAAACCACAACTGGTATTTCATTTTTGTCCTCCTTTCCTCTCAATTAGAACCAGGCGGAAAACGATGAACGACAGAGTGCCTTTCTCCACAGGCACCGGAAGCAAGGGTTAGTGATATCGAGGTACAGCATCCAGAACAGGGAAACCATATGAGCTGCATGGAATATTATTACTTAACCACCATGCTACCATTTCTTCATTTTCCTTGAAGAAAATCATGCACATGCACACACTTGCATACACGTGCACACACACAAATGTCCAATCACTTATTCGTGTTTAAAATGTCTATATTTTAATTGTATAAATATTATATAGTCTTTGTAAAACATTTATTTATTCTCACTGATGTTTCATTTTTTCTTTTCTTCAAGGACTGGGAATCATGCATTCACTAAAGAAGCATCTACAAAGATAATAGGATTCAGATTTCTGTTTATAGGTATGTGTTATCTTAATAGCCACTATTTCTGAGGGCTTGTGTGTTTTTTTAATGTTTTTATTTATTTTTGAGACAGAGAGAGACAGAGCATGAGCAGGGGATGGGCAGAGAGAGACGGAGACACAGAATCCGAAGCAGGCTCCAGGCTCTGAGCTGTCAGCACAGAGCCCAACGCAGGGCTCGAACTCACGGACTGTGAGATCATGACCTGAGCCGAATTCAGACACTCAACCGACTGAGCCACCCAGGCACCCCTCTGAGGGCTTGTTATATGCCAGGCACTATACAGAGGGCTTTATATGAAATATGTCATTTTGGGGATTCCCATTTTACACAGGTATAAAGAGCTTGGAGACAGAGAAGCTGAATCCCACTTAGCCCTCTTAGACCAGAGTGGCTCCATGTTTAAGAGAGAGGGCACCCTCTATTAGGGGCTTTTTAGACACCTTGGAAACTTATTTCCTGGCACAATTGTTCTCCCTACTCATCACGTTGATTTAAGGAGTCTGGATTAGAGGGGTGCCTAGGTGGTTCACCCCACTCTTGATTTAAGCATCCCACTCGATTTCAGCTCAGGTCATGATCTCATGGTTCAGTTTGTGAGTTTGAACCCCGCATCCGGCTCTGACAGGGCCCATTTGGGATTTCTCTCCCCTCTGTCTCTGCCCCTCCCCTGCTCATGCTCTATCTGTATCTCAAAACAGATATAAAAATTATTAAGTAATCCAGATTAGATATGTTTGGTTTTTGTTTTTGTTTTCTAAGGAAGAAAAGTGAAGTCTTAGTAGCTTTCAGATTATATTCTTTCTCCTCCCTGCCTATAAAGGCACAAAATAGAATTATGCATGCCAGGGATTTGGGCTGAGCTAGCAGGTTTCTTAGGGGATCGTTTGCCTTGCAATGAGACTGCATTCTTCACAGGAGCCCTTGTTTGAGAAAAATTAATAGCCAAATAATTACAGCAAATGAAACAAAGTAAGGGCACTTACTCATGTTATAAAAGGCTTTTCACTTAAAAAGCCTTGACCCTAGGATTGCTTTAAATAAGAAACTATTGCAGAGCATTTCCAACAGACTTCAGTAAGTTAAAACAAACAAACAAAACATTTTGCATATTCGGAGTCAAAGCTATCACCCAGAACAATGTACATTTCTAATATGAAAAGATAGTGATTAGACATCCCTACTGTGTTTACTTTAAATCCTCACATGAGGGGCGCCTGGGTGGCTCAGTCGGTTAAGCGTCCAACTTCAGCTCAGGTCATGATCTCACAGTTCATGAGTTCGAGCCCCACGTCGGGCTCTGTGCTGACAGCTGAAAGCCTGGAGCCTGCTTCGGATTCTGTGTCTCCCTCTCTCTCTGCCCCTCCCCTGTTCATGCTCTGTCTCTCTCTGTCTCAAAAATAAATAAAAACATTAAAAAAAAATTAAATTCTCACATGAGTTGGGGCACCTAGGTGGCTCCATCGGTTAAGCGACCAACTTTGGCTCAGGTCATGATCTCGCCATTCGTGAGTTCAAGCCCCGCATCGGGCTCTGTGCTGACAGCTCAGAGCCTGGTGCCTGCTTCAGATTCTGTGACTCCCTCTCTCTCTGCCCCTTCCCTGCTCGTGCTCCCTGTCTCTCTTTCTCTCTCAAAAAGAAATAAACATTTAAATAAATAAATAAATTCTCACATGAGTTGAAGCACCATCAGGAAAAGCCAGGGGATGTGACATGTGTTCAAGTTCAGATGTGTTCCTTGAATAACAACCATCTCAGTCTTTGCAATTTGTGCTCACCCTACCTTTCCTGAAATTATTTTGAAGCAAAGATAGACTAACCTCAGTGTTAGAATTGCTCTGACCATTCTGGTTTGGGGATGGCTTACTTTGTCAGCAGCAGCTCTTTCCAAAGAAATGATTGAAAGATTGTTGAAATTGATTCAGGACTTAGATCTGGAGCATTATGGAGCTGTCTACCCACTAGAGTGATCGTTACTTCAAAACTCATGTTTGTAAAAAGATATAAGCTATAAAAAGTATATGAAGCTTTATATAAAGCTTTTTATAAAATAAGTAAAACTAAATGGAATGCATAAGTTATTTTCATTCTTAATCCTCTCTATGTACTCAAAAGTCATTTAACAATACATTTTTATTTTTTATCTCCTGTCATGTGCAAGAAAGTATGGTAACCTTTTGATACATAGTTCAGGCAAACTAGAAGTCACTTCTAACACTTTAGAGCATACGCTGTATGCACTTGGAGTTGAGGTTAGAGTGAGTAACAAATATCATACAAGTGACCAAACTACATACAATTTCAGATTGTGATAAGTGCCCTCAGGAAACTTAAGAGATACTAGAAAAAAGCATAGCAGAGGAATCCAGTCAAATATGTAGTGGGAGGTCAGGGAATGACTCTGCAGAAGTGACATGTAAGACAAGTTGTGAAGGATAAAGTGGAATCCAGGGTGAAGAACTGTGGGAGTACATGATGGGGTCAGGGGTGGGGGTCCATGCAGAAAGAGCCACCTGGGTATAGACCTGAGTAGGGAAGGAACTCTTCATGTGGTCAAGGAGGCAAAAGAAGTTCCTATGGCCAGAGCAAGGCATAGATTTCTCTTCCACATGTAATACAGCATTGGCCATTTTCTGCCTTTATTAACTTACTTTAAATAGTTCTATATTTTTTTTCTTTTGGCTTCTGTTTGCGGTGATCTTTCAAACTATCAACAGAAATGGATTTCCATTTAAAAATAGCAAGTAGTTAGTTGTGTTTAATGCCGTTCCTCAACTTCCAAATGAAGTACCTCTGATGACACAGAAAATATGAATACTTAAAATAGCACTGAAAATTAAGAATAATATTTCTGGAATCTCTGAGGAATTTTCATGAACTCAAAAGCTGATGAGGCTAGACTGAAAGAAACAACTGCTGGCCAACCTTTGAGACTCATGCACATTCCTTTGTCTGTACACCAAGGGCAGAGACTCAGGAAATGAGTCAACTGGAAAACCATCAAAAAATAACTGTGCATTTAGGTGCCACTTTGTGAGAATGACAGAGGGCTGTGCCTCCAACCAAGGAGGTAAAATCTCGCTTCATCTGCTAGGATGCGCCAGTTCTCATCAAAGAAACCAAAACAGTGCGTGAAATACTAGAGAAGACCGATTGCATTGTATTGAATATTGAGAGATGTAGTCTTTATAAATAAGTTATTGTAGATGTGGATTGAGCCTGCAGGAGCCGTGGTAGCAATGCATGCTTAGAATGATATGGAAAGAGGGAAGTGGGGCACCTGAGGGGCTGAGTTGGTTAAGCATCTGACTTGATTTTGGCTCAGGTCATGATCGCATGGTTCATGAGATTGAGCCCCACTTTGTGCTCTGTGCTGACAGCTTGGAGCCTGCTTGGGATTCTTTCCCTCCCTCCCTCTGCCTCTCCCCCATTCACACACACACACACACACACACACACACACCACATACACATGTACACACACACACACACTCTCAAAAAAAAGTAAGAGAGGGGCGCCTGGGTGGCTCAGTCGGTTAAGCGTCCGACTTCAGCTCAGGTCACGATCTCGCGGTCAATGAGTTTGAGCCCGCGTCGGGCTCTGGGCTGACGGCTCAGAGCCTGGAGCCTGCTTCCAATTCTGTGTGTCTCTCTCTCTCTGTCCCTCCCCCATTCATGCTCTGTCTCGCTCTGTCTCAAAAATAAATAAACGTTAAAAAAAAAAAAAAAGTAAGAGAGAAGTACCTTACCAATTCAAAAAAACAGAGGACAGTTGCATTATATTGACTCAATGTTAAGCTAATAAAATAGTGAAAATATACAGACCATATTTAGGATTGAGGGCTAAGAAGTTCAGAAATCTTTGGTGGGCAATAGAAGCCTATGAAGATTATCTGAGTAGGAGGAATTCTTCAGACCTGTATTATAGGAATTTTAGTTGATAGCATAATATAAAATGAATTGATCAGATGGCTATATTCTTTTTTTTTTTTTTTTAAATAGGCCACATCTGTGAATTTAGGGTGTTGTGCTTTCTTTGAACTCTAATGCTATCAATGTCTTCCCATACCACTAACCATTCACTTAGCCAAACAACATTTTTTTTTTCAACGTTTATTTATTTTTGCGACAGAGAGAGACAGAGCATGAACGGGGGAGGGGCAGAGAGAGAGGGACACACAGAATCGGAAACAGGCTCCAGGCTCTGAGCCATCAGCCCAGAGCCTGACACGGGGCTCGAACTCATGGACCGCGAGATCGTGACCTGGCTGAAGTCGGACGCTTAACCGACTGCGCCACCCAGGCGCCCCAGATGGCTATATTCTTAAGAAAAGGTAAGAGCCAGGAATGATTAAAAGAGGGAAAAATGGCAAATGAATCAGAAAAGTCAGTACAAACTGTACTGTTACAGCAGAAGAAGTGATTCACGACGACACTGGGCATGTTTGGCAAGGGAGAAGGGAAAGTCGAGTATAACTCCTTGTTTTGAGCTTGTCTGTTTCTGCTGTTTCTAAAGCACAAGAATTGCAATCTGGGTTTGTTCGGAGCAGTGTTTGGGTGCCTGCATAGGGCTGGAAACAGCTCGAGGATCAGAGTTGCCACTTGGGAAGCCCCATCCTCCTCTCTGTTGAGGAACTAACAATGAAAGCAATATATTCTTCCAGATGGTGGCTTTAATGTCTTTAAATATCTTAAATGTGTTCAATCAACTCCATCGATAGGATAAAATTCAAACTCCTTAGTATAGTATTCCAAATTCCTCATAAAGGGACCTTCTCAAGTCTCTGATACATGCTGTAAGACTGACATATGGTGGGAAAGGATATTTTTAAAACAAATTTGGACTGAGGTGTCTAAAACCATAGATCTGAGGGGTGCCTGGGTGGCTCAGTCGGTTAAGTGTCCGATTTCAGCTCAGGTCATGATCTCGTGGTTCATGAGTTTGAGTCCCGCCTCGGGCTCTGTGCTGACATCTCAGAACCTGGAGCCTGCTTCAG